GGTTTTCCTTTCCTATCTTCCGCAACAATCTTTTGTTTTTCTGTGTGTATTAATTCTTGATATAAATCAATAAGAATTAAAAAGTTGAAAAAATCTGTGTAATTGTATTCAACCCCCCCTTCTACAATTACTTTCTGTTTATTGCCTTACCCTTCGGGACTAACATTTATGCATCAATGATGTTCTTCTGAATACCTCTACATATCAACCTCATGCCGTTACATAATCCATTTGAGGGGTTGATATTACCTAATAGTATTATTGGCATCCAATTCGAAGCCGAAGGTAACTAGGAGGCAAACCGCTAACAACAGTGAGTTTAAGAATTCCATTGGATATAAGTTATTCTTATCGTCTTCTACTTTGTCACATCTATATCACGTTTTTTTTTCTCTCTGTAGAATCTTTCGATCAATTGATCATTAATCTCGTGAACGGCACAATCCGCATTGCAAGGCGGGAGGCATGAATGTAAACAGTTTTGAAGCTTTGGTCTCCATGATCACATCATCGATGGTAGTTCGTCGGTGACAGAGAATATAGAGAGAGGAAGAGAGAGTCCAGAGACGAAGCTCGAAAAAGGAGGTGGAGGACCTGCGGGACATGCAAGGGTCACAATTTGCCCTACTGAGAAGCTTAACCCTTGTTTAATACTCTTCTGAATTCCATTGTTTTTTAGGATGTATCAACCGAACAAGAGCGTATTGTTACAATTGATGTATAATTCTATTGCAGATATATTTGAATGATGTAATTCTTGTAGTCGTTTACTTGAGCGATTCCATAATTATGAAATTTAATTGGTCGAGAGTAGTTGTGTGCTAATTACGAATTATTATATCACATATTAATTGGCCGACACTTGTTTGGTTGTTTTCCAACTTATTACTGTCTCTTACGTGATCGGTCTCATAAGTACGGAATGAAATTAGTTTTAAGGGGCCGTTTATCGAAACACTTACCCTGTAAGCTTATCGGTAAGATTTAACACTATCACTTACTGAACAAGATTTTAGTTCACCAAAACAACACTATATGCAACAATTCACCAGGTAAGTGCTAACCATGGTAAGAGTCATCGCTCTCACTTATCGGATAACTCTCTCGGTCCTTTCCTTCGTTCTTACCAGATAAGATTCTTGGTTTTTGTCATATTCTTCTAGTAAGTTAATATAACTTAGTAAGTGCTTACATGGATAAGCATTTGGTAAACACCTCTCTGAGTTTATTTGTGTGCTTCTAATATATTACAAAATTGGCTTCATAATGGTCTATGATTATGTCCCTGTCAAAATAGATGGTTTAAAATATTTTTTAGATTTAGTGATTACTAAAAAATATATAATTTTTTTTTCTTTTCTAGATAATTAAAAAGAATTTATAGAAGATCGTTCAGACGCTCAAGAATGTTGAGTTGTTTAAGAGATCAAGGGAATATCAAAAATTGGACCAAGGTATAGATATCGATTCATATTTGAAAATTTTCGTCTTAAGGTAGCAATTGACGAATCATTTATATAGTTGTTTCGTCGGTTTAAGACCAACCGAACTAATACTTCAATTAACCGGGGTAATCACTTATCAATAAGAATCAACACTCTAACTTGCTTTATCGGGTAAGATTGTATGCAACAATTTTTCACATGGTAAGCGCTTACCGGGTAAGAATCTTTATCTTTATTATCACTCTTACTGAGTAAAATTATCAGCCCTTGCCAAATACATATCAGATAAGAAATTGGTAAATGGCTAAATGTCATTCAATGTACCAAAAAATAACAATATCAAAATGCATCTGTTTGCCAAGATTACAGGAGCATGTCTATTAGCCCAACTTGATTCTCAATTCTATTGGTTTTTTTGGGATCCTATTTTATGTGGACTTGCTAGTCCACTTAGGGGTTGTTCATTTGTGGCTTAATGAGCTACATAGTCTGTATGACTTATTCGGTTAGCCATACAGGACTGTTCCGTTGTGGCTTACTACTTCAGCCGGATGCTTATTCGGTCAGCCAAAATAGTTGTTTCCTTAGCATTCAACCATCATTATTCCAAAAATGCCCCTTGTCCTGTTAAACAAAACCTCTGCCTCCCCAACAATCATATCTCCTCTCGAAGAAGATCAAGGAAGTGGAAGTGGAAGCGGAGGCTTATGTTAATGTCCAAAAGGGGAAAATTATCCCCGGTTATGAGTTGAGCGTTTTGCTCAATTGGCACGGCAAGGCGAGGCGAGAGATGATGAAGGGAAATCGCTTTTGATTGCCGATGGTGTTATCGAGATTTCTTATATTTCCGACAAAGAGGATCCTGATCTTAGGGTTATTGTGAGGAATGAAGGTCCGATTGGGAGATGATTGAAGGATGCCTTTATGGCGAAAGGGAAGGATTTCGTTTTGAAAAGGGTTGGGGTTTATGATGATGCCATGGCAAAAGGTGGACCTGCAAAGGATGAATTGGAGGTCAAAAAGGTTAATGCAATTCTGCATAAATTTACTCTAAAAATTTTGTTTTTTTGATGATTTGTGTGCAAAGTTGTTATAATTTTCTTATTTGATATACTACTTTATTTAAATTTTGCTGCAAATATCATTGCTATGTTGTGAAATTTTATCCACAAAGATTCCAGTATATAAACTAACAGTAAATTAGGCATTATGTCATTCAGGTTGTTCATGCAGCATAACAACTGAACATTAATTAAGTTAAATTGATACAGACAACTCGATACATATAACTTTATACATACATGACTTAATAGAAAACGAACCGAACAACTCGTCGGTCTAATTTAAATTAAATGGAATAGACTAGAATTTGAGATTTGATTTTATTTAAATTAAATGAGATGGAATGAGATTAGGATCGGGATTTGATCTCTTTCAAGTTAAATTAAGGGTGATAAATTTTTACATAGAGTTGTTATTGTCGTCAGAGATTCTTAAACTGTGGGAGATTGCATTTGAAGGTCTGAAGCATGAGATACAACCCTCTATAGAAACCATTTATGGGTTATTTTTCTTCGTCTTTTGTTTTCTGTTGTTGATATTATTGACGAGTAAATTGTTTATCGTTTACAGGTTGTAAGCCTTATTTTCGGGTAGTAGCATTTACAGCTAAGTTGGTTGATACTTGATAGATCATTGACATGATTTGTGTATCCATCATAAACTCCTTTTCACACTTATCTAATTATTGGAGATACTTCTTTGATTACCATGTTTTAATTTTAAAAATACAAGGACAAGAAATGTTATTTTTGATAAAGGTCACAAGGGATCAATACTATTCTTTTAACTGAACAATGGTTTAGGTTTTGTGTGTCTTTCGATTGAAATGTTTTGGTCAATATTTTCTTGTCTCTAAGAATATTTTAGACATAGATAATATAATAGTACATTTTTTTATATAATTGTAAGTCATAAAGGATCCGCATGTGTAATGTGTGTGTTTGCATAGATAACGTTATAGAACATTTTGAAATTCACATTCATTCAACGTGTTATTTATATGGGCAAAATGGATAACATTTAAAGCATATCACAAGGAACAATTATTGGCATCCATACTTGTGGGCAAGAGAGGGGGTGTAACAAAATAAGGAGACATTTTCTTTTTTGCTGCTGGAGTGGTCTGTCAGTCCGATCCAATTTGAAAAATAAGCAAACCATTTGGTCCAATCTACAGTTTGAACGTTTTTTGAGCAGTTTGGACTACACCAAAATACACATGTATATTTATGTTTCCTCAAAACTTCAAAATCCGTTATAAATCAAAACCTAAAATTCCAAATGGTCCTTCAATTCCAGCAATTAATTGTTGGTGAATTAGTTCAACTATTTTTTCAATTCGCTCAACATTTTTTTTGGCTTAGTTTCTTTTATAATTCGTTAGTTCGTCTAATAATATTCTATTGGTAAAACCTTTATTTTAAATATGAATGTTATGTTTTTATAGTTTAACTTAAAGCTCGTAATAAACCAGAACAGATTACAGAACATGTTTTGTGATCTAGTTTGATCATTCACCGTTAAACCATTCCGTTCAAAAAACTTCCTAAACAGGCGCTGTGACATGGTTTGTGGTTCCAATTTAGATTGCGAACACCACAAAGGGAAATAAAGATTCCAACTCTACTTCCTACATGCATTATTGTCGTTGTTTATATGTTCATTCGAATCGGATCCGTCCTCAAAACTAGATACCTTTTATTATTGGAGTACTTTCTTGTCGGTGGTAAATCCCTCCACATTTGTTTCAAGTTGAGGACGCAAGAACCCTAGACAAGAACCAAGATCGAAACCACTTTTCCATTGAATTAGAATAATCCAATCGAGAATATCATTTGGGATCAAGCTTTAATTTGTTGGGAGATGGATAATAAGATTCCTTTCAATCATGGTTACATCTTAGGTTTCCCATTTATGGTTTAGTAAAGACAAACAAATAAGATTTGTGCAACGATTTACATGTTCAATGAATGTAATCAGTTTTGAAAGGGGCTGTTTGAATGTGGATGAAATTCGTGGTGGTTTTATCTTGATAATTTTACCAATAACATCTAAGATAAGTACTAGGAAATCAATATAATAGAGCAAAGTTATCAGAAAACAAAGGTACGATTTTATATTAAGGCTATAAATTGACCACAACCAGGATAGGATCTCCATGATGGATTACAGTTGTCTCCAAATACAGATAATACAAAACGAAATTAAGAACCACACAAAGCAGATCTTACATCCTCGCAGATGCAGGATGCTACCAAATCACAATCCGAATCGACTTCCACTTATTGTTTATTGAACGAACGCGATTTCTATTTATATTGCCAGAACCAGACCAGGGACCGATTTTCCGACGCGATTAGAGAGACTACTCTCCCAAAGGTAAGGGCAATGTAATGATGTAACCGAAACAGGTTTGGTAGAGTTACCGAAGCGAGTGACAGTAAGGGAAGTGTTGAAGTACTCCCTAACCTGTGTAATTATCCCATGCGAATTGACGGTCCAGGCGTGGATCCAGGAGATATCACGGTGTTGATCGCAGCCTTCAACGATGACCGTAGATCCGAAGGCGTCAACCGAATGAGGCGTGAATTCAAAAGAGTCGGCTACGTCGTTATCAGTTCCGGTAAGCAATCGCATCATAAACTGATGAGACGGAGGGCCATGGAACCACCACTCGAGATCAGGTGCTAAGAGTTTGTGGACGACTTGGACGTCTCGAGAGCTTAGCGCATGGTAAAGTGCGAGCACCACGCTCTCGTTGCCGGAATCCTCCAGAGCTTCTTGAGGGTTGGCCAGTTCTGTAAGATTAACCCTAGAAAACGATGTTATCGGAGGAGGTAGTCGGAAAATGGGGATGATGAAATGGCTACGGGAGGGGCAGCTTTTATAGGAGAGAGGTAAAGGGTAGTTTCGGAATTTTGGCAATGTTGTCATCCCAATTGGTGAGCGTGTCCTAATCTCCTTTTTTTTCGTTTTCTTCTTATCTCATTTTTTGATGAACTTTAATTTTTTTTAAATACTTATTTAATAATAAAAATAATACCATATTGGCGTATTGGAGTCTGAAATAGGGACGTAAATGAGTCGAGTCAAGTAGTAGGTTAATCCAGCTGAGTTTAAAAAATTAAAATCAGACTCAAGCTCGGTTACCTTTTCATTGTAGGGCTCGAGCTGGAATATTTTTGAGTTATCGAGCTCGATGCTCGTCTATGGGTTCGAATTCACGCTTGATTGACTCCTTTTATTGGCTTGAGCTTGATAATTTTTATATTTTTATTGTCTTATTAGTAAATATATGAACATTTTCAGCCGTAAAAAGTTGTAATCGAATGGCTCACTCAACTCGAAAAATTGAATCGATTTTTTGAATGAGCCGAGTTGAATATTAGTGTATAAAGCTCGGCTCATTAAGTTAAATGGGTTCTATTTTTTGTTCGATATCGACTTGAGCTCGAGAATTATAGCTCGTTAAACACTCAAATTCTTCATACTATTAGTCGGAATTTATAGCTATAATTTATAAATGAGAAATAAAAAATCAAGTCAAAACTTAATAACATATGATTCTATTTTGGCTCGCTGCAATAGCTGTCATATCGTGGCGTGACTCAAGATTTGTGTTTCACGTCACGTCAAGCATGTGACACACCATGATCTAATATACGATTTTTGTAATGTGATATTTGATTTCTTTATATTTTTTATGTTTTATCGACTAATTTTTAATATATAAACCAAATTAAATTATTTACTATCATTGACTTATTTAGTAATAATATAAAACATATCTATATATATATATCTATACAAACTTGGGATCACGTGAGACCAACCTGTTTTCGTGAGACCATTTTTTTACACTTGAAATTTCACAGCAAAAACTTGTGAAGGTAATTTTCACAATGTTTTTGCTGTGAAAGTTCAGATTTTTTTTATCTTCATTAGTGTTTTATTGTGAAGTTTTAAGTGTAAAAAAATGGTCTTACTGGTCTAATGAAAACGATGTGGTCTCATGTAAACTCAACCTTATATACATATGTACATGTGCATATATATGGTGAGGTTCATTTGATAAGTGGTAAGTATTAAAAAAGTAAATAAGCGATCCTAGCCTTTCTTACAGTCAATATTGGTCAAGAATTGTGGCTTTGACTCATCAAAAGAAAAATAGAGATGTAGTTTTGTAACTTTTACAAATAAGTGGCATACAACTTCATATATGAACTCATATTTCATATGTGAATCGGTTAATTAGTTTATATGTGAATCGGTTAATTAATTCATATGTGAATCACATGGTTCACATATGCACTTGTTTTGCTACCTATTTGTAAAAGTTAATAAACTAATTCTCTATCATTTGCATATCAAACGAGGAATTATTCATTGTTTTACAGTCAAAGCTGCAAACTCTACTAGATGAAGGGCTAAGATCATTTCACTACTTCTCAAATACATAACACTTATCAAATGAAAACACACACAATATATATATATATATATATATATATATATATGGATCCATTCAAGGGAGAACTGATTAGTTTGTGGTAACTGTGAAATCCAATCTCAACCACAAATCAACGGATAAATTAGGAAATTAATAATTATGGCAATTTGAGTTAAAATTATAATTAGAGGACAATTTAGATATTTTTAAAAAACGTCTCTCTCCTCTCTCCTCTCTCATCTATTCGACCTCCAATCTCCGGCATCCGGTGAACATTAATCCGGTAGGTACCAAGTAATCACAAAGATACACAATGTGATACCCATTGTGATATATTGTGATACCATTGTGATACCAACTATGATACCGACTCAAACCTTAAAAACAAAGATACACAATGTGATACCCATTGTGATATATTGTGATACCATTGTGATACCAACTATGATACCGACTCAAACCTTAAAAACAAAGATACACAATGTGATACCCATTATGATATATTGTGATACTGATTTCACCGGATGTCGGAGATTGGAGGTCGGAGAGAGGAGAGAGAGAGAGAAGAGTTTTTAAAAAATACCTAATATGTCCTATAATTATAATTTTCACTCAAATTACCATAATTATTAATTTCCTAATTTATAGTTGATTTATGGTTGAGATTGGATTTCACAGTTAAAACAAACTAATCAGTTTTCATTTGATTAGATCTCTCTATATATAAATATATAATATTGTGATATATATATATATGGTATAGTGATTTGCTGTCAAAAATCATGTTTTAAAAAAAGTAATGCTCCTGTCATAACACCTAAGACTTGAAGCTTGGCCTCACGCCATTTATAATCCTATTAAATTAGAATAAGATACAATTTGGTCTATGTGATTTGTCAAAAATAACATTTTTTGTCCTTGTATTTTTAAAATTACAAGATGGTAATCGTGGTTTACAAAAACATCCGGACTTGACCATTCCATCTAACATCCATTAAAAATTCTGTTAAATGAAAGATTTTTTTCATCCTTATATCGATTTATTGTCTTTTACACAATCAAAAACCATAAGAACCAAAATCATAAGATCATTTTAATTAAGCAAAAGAGAAACAAAAATCAATCAAATGATGAAAGTGCCCCTTATTTAATGGAATATTCTAATAGTAGTTAGAAGGAGAAACAAATTCAGACATTTTTGTAAATCACAATAACCATCTTATAATTTTAAAACTATAAAGACCAAAAATGTTATTTCTGACATGGACCACATTTGTAGTTTACTTTAAAATTTATTTTTATTAATTACAAATTTTTAAGCAAAATGATAAACAAAAATAAATCGCTTGATTGAAGTGTAAGAAAAGATTGATTTGACTTTTTTAAGCTAAGATCATCCATAAAGAGTAATAGATAGGGTGTGGACAATGACCCTTCTCTTTTCCTAAATTTCAATTATATACTCACTCATAATATACTTTTATAACCACAACGGTGGTGTCTGATTGGTTTGAGCTTGACTTTAAACGTCAAAAGTATCAGTAGGTCTCAAGTTCAAATTCAAAGAGAAATAAAAATTCTCTTGTGACCACGGAAGTTCAAATGCGGTGACTCTAGGCTTTCTGCAAAGCAGGTGGTCGTCCTGAGATTAGTCGGCTCGCATAGCGAGTTTGATATCCAGGTTAATAAAAAAAAATATACTTTTATATGTTAATCACTAAACAAATTATAAATCAAGGTTGGATTTCAGTCAAAATGAGAATTAAGGTGAGATGTATCATATCAATCTCCGTATCAAACATGATTTATAGATGGATTTGAGATTAAATGTAATCAAGGATTCAGATCATTTCTTAAACTTTTCATCTTAACTCTTATTCTGATACATATAAATTAACAGTATTTTTATATTTTTTTTGGTTATTTTTGTATTTGAAAGAGGAAGAATATCTTAAATGTAAGATATAATGGTGTGTTTTCCATATTTCGCATCATCCCACAGTGGGTTGGTTTGAATAGTCAAATTATGACAACTATAAGACCTTGTCTTCAACACTCAAGTTAAAACTAGGAAACATCGTCTCTCTTTCCATTTATTGCTTATATGGGCCATACAATATTGTATTTTAAAATTGGCCTCCAAATACTTTTTTTTTTCATAAAAAGCAAAAACATCAAATTTATACGCCTAATAAATAAGTAACTTGAGTGATACGTGTTATCTTTTGGTGAGTCGGTTATCTTATTTTCTCGTATAAACATGTATCTAGACACAATTTACATTAGTGATTCAAAGAGGCCTATTTGGTTGACAGTTGTCCCTCTAAAGATGTATTTTTTTTTTATCGTGGTTTAATTGATTTTTCTACTAAACGTGATTTAGTTCAGACTAATTTTCTTCAGCTAATCTGACAAGTTATTGCTGACAGCCTTTAGCTTGTGTTTTCAGCTTATCGTGACAACTTTCAGCTATCACTGAAGAGCTAGTTTTCAGCTTTCAGCTATCACTTGCTGATGTTGTCAAGAAGTTCTGTAAAACGAGTTTTGTTGGTTAACATGTCGGCTATAAAAGGTTTTTTTTTGCCAAAAATATGTCTATATTTGTTCGAAATAACACATTTAATTTTATTCTAGGGTTAACTTCATTTTAACTAATTATCTATATAGTTTAATTTCTAAATTCAAGTCTGAAGAGTCATTTTTCAGAGTCATTTTTCAGAGTTATACTTCAGAGTTATTTCAGGAGTACAAGTCTGAAGTAGCATCGTACTTTCGTTAATCATTCATATCTGTAAGATAAATTCCTGACAAGATTCAATTTTTTCAAATTACCCCGTGTAATACACGAGATCGAACCTAATATATATATATATATATATATATATATGTGTGTGTGTGTGTGTGTGTGTGTATGTGTGTGTGTGGAGGTTCAAACGAGAACACCTCCGTAAAACCTTTATTCGAATTGTAAAATCTCTAAAAAAAACACTTGAAATTATAGATTTGATCGTGAAAATAGTGAAAAAGATCGTGGAAGATGATTTCAAGAATGTGTTGCTTAATGATTTCAAGATGATTTCAATTAATTATAGTTTTACTGAAGCTTCAACTTTGTGTGAAACTTTACTTCCCATGCTTCATATAAACTCTTCATTATCTATATCTATACTACATCATAATTCATTGTGTTAAAACTCTTAATTACAACTCACAAAACACAAAGTAACACCATTTTGTGCACAAACTTCAAAAAGACTATGAATTACAACTCAATAAACATAATGTATAAGTATCTGATGCATACTACCTCCTACAACAACTTTACTTTCTTGGGTTCGGTTTCAAATTCAAATCAGGTTTATCTGCTCTCGCGCTCCCTTGAATCCTCCACCATCTACAAAACCCTTTCTACTCCTCCAACCGTCCTTCCTTTCTATGTTTTTGCGTTTCTAAAACCTGAGGACCGAACAGAACATCTTGATTCAGGATTTATACAAGAATCGTCCTCGGAAAAACATCATCTAAAGGTATTGATTCATATTGTTCAGTTTTGTTTATTTTCCCTCATATACTATTTCTTTTCAACTAATGCAACTGTTTGAGAATCCACTTTGATTTCAGATAAAATCAGATGTTCTTTGTACTTTTTCTCCTATGAAGGTTGAAATAGCCTTTTATTGTTTAGTTTGTATGCAGGTTCATAGATGTACTCCATATATAACGTTCATCTATGTTTTATAATTTTTGTTATGAACTCCTGAATATAGCTTGTGGTATAGGGTAATCAGTACCCTGTGTACAATGTTCAGCCAAACTATCAAGAAAGGTATGTTTATTTTCGTATTTTCTCTTATGTTGTGATTTACGCATTTCGACTTACAATTTTTATCATCCTATAACGGCTAGTTAAATCTACATCATCACAAGTTGAAAACTCAAATGAAAAGTTTGACGGTGTTTCTTTTTTGAATTAAAATTACCAGCAATCATTATGTCCATTATTATCTCCAATAAAAGAGTAAATGTCCTTGTCTTCTTGAAAACCCACCTTAGCAGCGCCTACTAGACTCAATTATAGTTGTCTTTAGATTGATCGGGTTAAATACATTTAAACAATCTAGTTTAATATTTGTAATTTAAGAAATTTCAATTCAAACCAAAGTATAACTCAACTCAACCTAAACCGTACGGATTGGTCGCGGTGATAATTTGATACATCAAAATATTCTCTTAACCTTCAATATGTTGTTTTCTCTAGTCTACTCATAATTTCTTAAGTATATCATATTCAATTAATTTTCTTAATTTGCATCTATATATGTTCACAGTTACTGAACATATGTAGAAATGAGTTATATTGAGATAACGAATAGATTGAAAAAAATATGTATATGGATGACAATTTACCAAAACGCCCAGGAGTATCCCAAATGGTATTTTGCTGATGCAACGACGTTCTACATTTAAAATCGCTTTCAAAATAAGATGATTACAAATTAAAAAAACAAAAATTGAAAACGATAGGATGATAAATTATCGAAATACCCAACCGTATCCCAGTTGTCTTCATGGGACAACCTTTTTTCCGAGTTTTTGAGTTAGAGAGAGAACAACAATCTCATTATCATACGATTATACATGAATTCCCTCCAAATTTATGTATATTAAAGAGGAAATTTTTAGACAAAAAGCTACCGAAAATTTTGAATTACTCGTTCTATCTCAAAAAGAAAAAAAGAACACTTAAAAACATAACGTTAGAATCATTTTTAAAAAAATAACTCGAAAACATAACGTTAGAATCAATTTATTCGTGATGAGTTGTTTATACATTTTGATTGATTTATATAATTTATTAAATTATAATAAAATAATTATTTTTATAACAAAATATATCACTAGAAAGTTTTCGTCAAAACAATTAAAATGAAACCAAAATAAAAAAGTTTATGTAGTTTCCAATTTTTATATTATCCCTAATCTACATTATTTTTTATTATTAATATATAATAAGTTACATAAATTAATAAAAATATAGAAATCATATAAAAATAATATTTTGAAGACAGTAAACTGAAAGTTTAAAAGATATCAAATACAATAAATAAAAGTTAAAGAACGAATAAAATGTAAAAATGAGACCTATTTGATATTTTAGACAAGAATTAAGTTTTATTTTGAGATTATATTGGTAAAATATGAATTTGTTCAACCTTGTTCCACCCTGTTCCATATGATAGGGGTAGAACAAGCTTGTTCCACATCAAAATCCTGCCAAACATAAAACATGGAACCCTGTTATATTCTGTTCAATGTACCAAAAACACCCTAAAAGTCGTATTGTTAAAATTGGAATTTATGCATCAATATAATATTTGTGAGGCATGGTCTGAGTTTCGATTTTAGCCTTGTGAAGCCATTGCAGGACCTGGAATGCCGTAAGGCTTGTAAAGTATATTATTGAAGTAATATTCTGAATACTCGTTGTTTATCTAGGTATCGGTAGCCAGGCCACATAGTCTGGTAAGTGATATTCGATAACTTTGGACCTTAGCTGAGTTTCATGTGCTATATCTTTACATGGACTACAACAAATGTGTTACATGGAACTCATATTCATGTTTTATTAAATGAACAATGAGAAAGTTTAATGGTTTTTTCATTCAAAAAAAAAAATTTAATTATTTTTTCATTCAAAATAAATAAATTACGACTAAACCATTTAAAATTATAAAGTTTAATGATTTTTTAATTCAAAAAAACAAATTAACGACTAAATCATTCAAAATGAGAAAAATTATTGAGTTTTCTTAACCTTTTCCTACTATATAAAGACATTTAAGGCATTTTATGCCATGTAAAATTGTTGGCAAAATTATATATTCATCTAAGCGAACGATCACGAATGGAGGTCTGATCGTATATGTTTGTTTAACGTAACTGAACAATAAACAAATGAAATGTTTTGTGCTCATGTTCATTCGTGAAAAAAATGTGCTTTGTTTGTTTTCATTTATTTTTTTTCGCTTAGATGCTACATAAAAGGATGAACATAAACAAAAAAAACATAAATAATAATAAAAAATTATTATTACTTATCCTTTCGTTTCTATGAAATACCATAAGGAAATTACAATATGTAAAAGTGGATAAACTTGAGAAGACAAAAATGAGAATTTAAATACTTAATCTAATTAATAATTTTATATATTAATTCAAATACGATGATATTGATATTGATATTGATATAGATATAGATATATAAACAACCTAAACAAACATAATGAAGGAAATTAAACAAAGGGTTAACATAAATGAAGGAACATACCAAACGCACTTTCCAAATTAAAAGTTGTTTTAATAATGATTTTGAAATAATTCACTATTTTTGGTTTAATTTAATTGCAATGTGTAATGGGCACGTGTCAACATTTTAAAATGGTACGTGGCAGCGAGGAAGCGAAAGCAGGACAGCTATGCTATGGAATCAAATCCCACCCAACCTGTTTTCGTCATCCACAAAGATTATATTCGTATAATATAAGTTTTTAACGATTTTGTTTTTATATCACTTAACAATCTATATTTTATTAACTTTGTTATTTGATAAATAATTAATTCTTTTTATGGACAAATAAAAATATATGGTCAACTGAACATGAGTAGCCCCCGCTTTATGACTATAATTGTTTACGAATTAAAAAAAGTTGCACCCATAAATCAATCATATTTTATATTCAGGTCCGTCATTTTATCTCTTTATTAACTGAATCATATATTAAAGATGGATCGTTCTTATATTATTTGAAGTATTCAATGATTCTTTTATTCAAAAATCATTACGAACCATCGATATGATTAATTTGGTTTTATATGTTTCAACTTCATTTTTTTTAAATTTATAGGGAAAATCCTGAACCTGACCCTTCAACTATTAAGTTATAGATTTAAAATAATTACTTTATTTATCAAATTATAAATTGTTAACCTATAAATCACAATGCATTTCAAGCTTAGATATGTTCTTAATTATCTTCTCTAAGTATAATGCATTGAAAAGGTGGTTCTAGAGTTGCATCTTTACCTCTTGAAGATGAATCTTTTTCTACGATCCGTGGCTGCGCAAAGGAACTCCCATCATCCTCTGAAACCCTCCTAGGACCAAGGGTCATTGAAGGGATATCACAAGGTGGAGAACTCGGGCCGGATTCTTCTCGAGAGGGCATTTTGGTCAATTCATCCTCGGGTTTATTGTAAAACTTGTCTACAATAATATCGTAAGAGTTTCCAGTTCGGACCTCCTGAGCAAGAGCACACCAACAGCAGAAAAGCCACAATGCACAATCAGTAACAGCAGGTTTACCACAACAGGAGTTGGATGGTGGCAGATTGAATCTTTTTCTCATTTGAATCCTCCAAAAGCCACCATAAAGCAAACCAAATACACACAGCAAGAGTCCAGTAGTCCCCAAAGCCTCCCTTATGGTTTCATTCTTAATGTTGATGGCAGCCATGTTGAAAATCCAAAATGGCGCCAAACAGAATAGAAGAAACGTGGCCGTATGGACATACATGTTTCCAAACCCGAGTCTTTCCATGTTCCATCCGAAAACACAAAACCCACAAAACAAGGAGAGATACGCGATAGAAATGTCCTCCGAGAAATCAAGTATACCTCCGCTCCATTTTGGACTATTTTCACTAGTTATCGTCTTGTTTCTTGATGAAAATGAGAATCTTTTTTCCAATGATTTCACTCTTTCTTGTCTTGATCCTATGTATTCGACATTACCCTCTTCAAGCTGGGATTCTTCACCAGAACCCATATCATAATCCTTCCCTAAAGGGCTAACAATGGTGTAAACACCAGCAATGGCAGGGGCGGCGATTGCTATAGAAATGGTTATTGCCACCCCAATTGCGGGTCTTTGTGATCTATTGAATCCTACATTGAGACCACACAAAGCATATTGTGCAAAACAGTTGAGGTTAAGCAGCAAGACAACCACAAGCATATGTGCCCATTCATGGGGTTTATAAGTGCCACCATTGCAGTATACTTTTCTCAATTTGGTAACATCTTCGGATCTCCATCTTAAAAGGAGTACAAGGTGATAGAGCCTGCGAGGGTGATGGTATAGACAAATGAGCGTAAATAGCGCATTGAGGATTTGATTGTTCACTTCAAACCATGCCTCTCTTTGGTATTTTTTTGGAAGAGCGCGATTTAACATTCCTGTCATGACAAGGAAGAGAATTGCACCCGAGATAGCAACACATATAATCCAAGCCAATAGAACCATATTCATCGGGTTCCTTATCCATTCTTTAGCCGTCTTCTGAAGGGATTCCCTATCAAGTTTCCTAGAGAAGATCCTAGAGAAGCGTTCACGAAAAGTGTGGCTTGTTCTGGATGGAATAGTGCGTGAGAACTTATCCCTCTCACTAGCAATCCGCTGCAAATTTAAAGATGAGGAATCTAAGCTACCCAATCGAAGGAAAGTCGATGTTTGTTTGCTCAGAGAAATATGCCCGCCGTCAACTTGAGCATCCTCGTTGCTATGAGGTATGTTAGAGTTTTTGATATATAGAGGAAGAGGAGGTTTGACTTCATATTCGTTAGAATTTTCGCCTTCGACTCCACCATTTTCAGGTGACAACATTATATTGTATAACACTGCTCCCAATATTTTGCCCTTCAGTCTCTAAGTTCATCTAGATGCAAGGGCTGGAACATGATTCAGAATCATCCTGTATCTAAATGAAGAAGAGAATAAAGAGATCATTAGATCACTCCATCTATTGCCAATCTGATGGTTCATTCTTCTATTGGAAGTATAACAACTGAAAAAACATACTGATTCAAACCGATTGCATGCATTTTTCTAAAATATCATATTATTATATACAAAATCAACATGCCTGCTAAAAATTTATTAACCGTCTTCCTGGAAGACCAAAAATACTGGTGTGGAATTCGAATTGGAGTTTAGATGAATTCTGTATATGGAAATTTTATAGTATGACCTGAAAAGGGAACATAGTAATCCTATTTACCATCTTCTATCAACAAGGCAGATGGAATGCCCGCCAATGCATCTGTAGACAAAATCAGGAATTTGAAAATCTAGCTTTTCAATTCCATTAATCAAATCAACCCTATCCCCCCTGTTGATCATCCTTTGGGAGTTGGGACTAAAAACAAGAAAAAGAATCGCAAATCTACAAATCATTCACCTGCCTGAAAATTACAAAGAGCTGCTGCCAGACATCAAACAAAAGCTGAAGCTCAATAGACTAGGGATGCAGTTCTCAAACTTAAGCTTGAAACTGAAGATGTCAAATCAGGTCAATTTTGAGTTGTTCGTCTTGTCTAAATACTTAAACATACACAAAATGAGAATTGAGCAACGACATCTACTAAAACCTAGCAATTAATTCACATTTACGACTTCAAAACTTCAAAATCGAGAATTCTAAAGCATTATTTCAGCTTCTACATAACTGTATACGTCGCGAACTTGGAAAAATCATGAATTAACGCGCAACAAACAAAAATTCTAAGGATCATAAGCAGGAAGAAAATTATGAGAAAGACATGTACCTGTAGAAGAAGATCAGTTCGAGTTCATCGTGCTCGATGATGAAATCGAGAGAGAAAATTGGAATATGTAAGATTCTTTGTTTGTCACGGGGAAAAGACGTCCAAATGGGCAGGTGGGTTATCCATACGACATCGTCCAAAGGCATTGTTGCCTCAGTGCGCTGCTTTTCCTCCCTCCACCGATCTTTGCTTTTAGAAAGGTGGCACTTTCCTCGTTTGACGGAGAAGTTACGAAATGGTCCCCAAATGTTGTTATATTGGCATAAATTACCCTTTTAATCTTACAAATAACCTACAAGTCCCTTTTTATTTCAAAGATTTGTATTTTGTTCAATGTTTTAATAGTAAACTATTTTTGGTTTGTTGAAAATTGTTGTTTTTGATGTTGTAGTTTGCAATTTGTTGTTATTTTCATTTCATGTTTTTATAATTTATTGTTGGTTTTCTTTTTTCATATTTAATGATAAACCACTGATGGAATTAGTTTCAGTAACGGAAACAACAATAAATTATAAACTATAGAGAAGACATGCATATAAAATTCACAATTTTTGATAAATTATAAGGACTGAAAACGTAATTTACACTTATTTTTAATAATAATTTTCTAATTATACTTATTGGTTATTCATGAAATTCTTAAAATGGAAATAATTTGGTAAGTGGACCGAATTTTGACCAATCATGCAATTCGTTTGATCCATTCATTTTGTCACGTACTTAAGGCATCGTGATTTATCGCAACGAGTTGAGTAACTCGGTTCACCCACCTTGTTCAAGACTAGAAATTCACAATTAAACGGGAAATAAGAGACTAAGGGGGTGTTTATCAAATGTTTACTTGGGTAAGCGTTTATCAAGTTATATTCTTTTATCGGATGAATATGACAAGATTCAAAAATCTTACCTGATAATAGGGCTGGCCCTGAGATTTTGGATGCCCACGGTGGAAGTCAAAAAAATGCCCCTTGTATGTGTAAATAAAAACCAAAATAAACTATTTGAACGGTTTTAGAACCTGGTCAATCAAACAAAAGAATGCCCCTTAAATATAACAAAAATGATGCAACACGGGAGGGTGGGGGGGAAACATAAATCAAAACCCCATGTAACAAAATATAAAGTACATCACCATTCACCTAAAACGATGTCTTCTTGCATTTTTTGAAGCAAAAATATCTATCACTTCGTCATAACTAATATTTAGCTAAAAACTTACTCTCAATACTTAAGATTGCTAACCCGTTCAATCTTTCTTGACTCATGGTAGATCGTAGATATGACTTCAAGTCTTCAACAACTTTAATTTTGAAAAGCTTCTTTCCGCAGGTGCTACGATGATCGGTACGGTCAATAATATCATGTAAGCAAGCAAGACATGTGGAAACATGTCCATTTTCTTTGCGAACTCCATAATTTGTATCGATGTCCAACGATTTTCACTTTTAGATGCCTCTTCTAGTAGCTTCCCTGCAAAATTTGTAACTCCATACACAAATATTCGCCATCAATATCAGAATCATTATCATTTGTTAAAGCAAATTCAAGGTTCAAACAACATTTTTTTAGCTCGTCATCATGTAAAGTAACCAAATTTCGCTCATCAAACAAGAAGCCGAACATAGATTCAAATTCTTGCATTTGTTCAAATCTGGTTCGTAGCTGCAAAAGAGCCATATCAACTAAAACAAGAAAATAATCAGTTCTAAATGTCTCTTGAGCGAAGACAATGACCGAGAGTCTTACCCGGTAAATTATGGCGACGACTCTTACCACGGTTAACGCTTACCGGGTAAATTGTTACATATGATGTTGTTTTGGTAGACTAAAATCTTACCCGGTAAATAAGCGATAGAATTGAATTTTACCGTTAAGCACTTACCAGATAAATGTTTAGGTAAACGGCCCCTAAGAGGAATGGGAATACACGAACATAAAAAACAAATGTAAAATAATAATTGCAACCTGATTCTCACCAAACTAACATGATATTTTCGTTTCAAGCATATTTAGAATCGTACAAAACTCTCTTAAAATTAACAAAGAATTCGACCAAAATATATAACATATGATTTATTTAAAAAATCAATTATTGGCTTCGTCTAAAAGTTGGATGAAAAGGGCAAAACTTGATGGAATCAATTTCAAAATTATATTAATTGTGTTAACTTTTGTTAACAATGAAAATTCATCTTTTATCTAGGTTCATATCCATTTCATAAATTAATGACAAAGGTAAATATGTAATTTTAGTTTCAATGTAACTCCATATCATTAATTGGGAGTTACAAAATAAAAAAAAAATCTCATAATTATTGTTGATTACTATTGATCTTGTTTTACTATAATATTGATTTATCTATCTATAATGTTCTTGAATTGTGATTGTTAAATGAGACCCAATAGTAAAGTTTTCGATATCGTTCAAACTAATATGGATAAACTCATTAGAAAACAACTCGACAACAATGAGAAGATTAAAAATGGTTTACGAAAACAATCGGACTTTGAGTTCCGAAAGTGAAGACAATAATCAAAGCGTTTGTATCGGTAATGGATTAATATGTTATAGTATTCGTTTTAATCGAAATTACCTTGATTATGACGTTTTTGTATTTTTTATAGTTCATATTGTGTTGGTTTTCGTGGTACAAGGCTCTACTCAAAAACGTCACCATCGGGATTATATTTGGTACAAAAACCCATTTACATCCAATAAGGTTTTGCGACGGAGAAGATGGAACAAGATCCCATGTGTAATTTTTGAGTAGAGCCTTAAACTCATCTTGCATAGCTTCATGCCATACCCTATTTTTAAATGCTTGTATTATAGTGATAGGCTCGGTGGAAGTGAGTTTGAAAGAGACATGAAGATTCATTTTATCAAACAAAGGGTCTTTAACCTAACGGTATGTGAGTTATAGACCTTTTAAAAGGTCAAGGGTAGTGATTATGAGGGAATATTCGACTAGTGTGTTATAAACCAAAAATTCCAATTACAAACTCATTGGGGGAAAAAAATCCCAGCTCCCAACAGCGTGAAAGAGATGATTGGGATTCCCAAGCTACCAACGAATCGATCCGTTTCCATCCAATGTGCAGATTGCAACCGCTATAAATTCCCTTCGCTTTAAACCAATTTTGACCAAGAGAATCAAAATTAGAATTAGCTTCGTCAATTAATGGGTTCGACTGTGAGAGTGAAACAAGAAGATCCAGAAAGAGATTCGTACATCACTTTGAAAGTAGTGAGTCAACTCAACGAATTGGATCCGTATTTCCGGGTGAGGCGTGATGAACCGCTGCAACAGCTTATGATGAGGTGGAGTGGTCGGGCGGGAGTGGATGACTACCGTACCTTTCGATTTCTGTTTGATGGCGATAGGGTTCCTGAAAATGAGACGGCTGATGAGTTTGGATTGCTGGATGGCGATAGTATTGATGCCATGCATGATCAGGATGGTGGTGGAATGGTTGTCTTTTTGGGTTGTTCCTTGTGTTTGAAACATGTGATTTGTTGTTTCTTGTGTGTTTAATTTAACGATATTATATATATATATATATATATATATATATATATATATATATATATAGTTTGAGTGATTTGAATCGTTTGCACTATTTTTTATATATAGTTTGAGTGATTTGAATCGTTTGCACTATTTTTTTATCTTACAAAAAGGTATGACTGGATAAGTGTCTGTTTGATATGATTAGGATTTGATAAGACAAAGCTAAACAAGTTGTTCTTAAAAGTTATTTGATGAATTTATATGTCATATAATAGTTATAAATGATATAAATAAAGTAAATATTTAAATAATATAATTTATAAACATTTATACACAAGTTTCATATACTTAAATACATACACATATCAAATTTGAATGAATTTTTTGATATATTTGATGGTAGACTATGTTTTATTCGATTTAGAAGATCTTTATTAATTAGCAGAGGCATGATAAAAAATGTTGCAACAACGAAAGTATTGGAGGTAGAGGTAGTGGTGGTTGATACACGATATTGGTTGTGGTGGATGATGGTGGTGGTGGCGGCCGACAATGATGAAGGAGGTAGTTGTGGCTGATGTGGGTGGAAGTAGTGTAGTGGTGGGCAGAGGTAGTAGTAGTTGATGCTAGTCAGCTAGTGGTGATGATGGTGGTTATGGTGGAGGTGGAGATGACCCATAATGGTAGCGGTGGCAGCGATAGACGTTGGTAGTGGAGATGGAGGCCGGCAGTGGTAGTGCCGGTGGTTGAGAGTTGGTGTAGGAGGTTGTAGTGGGAGATAAGGTGGAGGTGGTCGACGGTGTCTACTGGTGGCCATCGGTGATGGTGGTGGCAGCTGCGGCTAGTGGTGACCATTTAAGCAAATTCCATAATAAAATTATATATCAAAGAAGGGTTAATTAGTAAAATATTACTTTATGTCTCATTTTTTCCCTATCTTTCACCTATTTTGGTGGAACAAGAAAAAATATCTTTTTATTCATATTCTATGTCATGTAAAACGTGAAACAGTAAGTTCTTGTACTATTCCATATCACAGCAAATGTGGGACAACGGGTTTTTCACAGCCGTCGGTTCTATACAATGGCGGAGCAAGCTTTGGACTAGGGTGTTCCCAGGCTCACCCTCACCATTGTATTTTTTTAAAAAGGTGCTGACATAATGTTGTTCTTAGGAGAGATACAGTTTATATGGTAGGTACCACTTAGTTGTTAATTATAAATTTTACACGCTTTCTTTAACCATGATATCATATGTAACAATTTACCTGGTGTTTATCGGGTAAAAGTTGTCACCTTTACTTTTACCGAATAAAACTCTTCATCCTTATTATTGCTCTTACTGTTAAGATTCTCGAACCTTGTCATATTCATACAGTAAGGTAAATGGTTGGGCAAACATTTAATAAACAACGCCTTAGTTACTTGTTTCGATCAATTACATATGTCAGTTGAAACAACTCCTTTTTTAGCTATTGATTATAGCAAATTGATTCATGTTCATTTTAATCCGAATTGTTAGTCTTGGATCGGTAGGATATGGACCATCACACACATATAATAACTCCTAAATTTATAAAGGGATTTAAAGGTGTTTCATATGTTCCATTCATACAGGGCCATTGAACCGGCCCAACCAGCAACCAAAGCTGTATGCAATATATGAACAGAAAGCAACCGTCCAGGATCATTCAATACAACGGTAAACCCATGGAAATACCCCTTTTTGAATAACAATTTTTTAGGAGCTACTTTAGCTCCTGATATAAGCAAAAGTCTATTACATCTAACGACTCCACACACTTTAAAAGTGCTTGGGGTGATTTTGCATAAAAACTGGTTGAAATAAAAGGACCACTCTCATCAAAAATCTTGGCTCCACCCCTGGTCCCATATACCGCAACCTAAGAATTCACGAGAAACAAGGTTGGAGAGGTATATATATATATATCCCTTTCTTTGGAACTATGATTTGCTTTTAGGTTTGTGGTATTCTTGTTTGTCATGCAGGGGACAGACCCATAAAAATTTTCAAACGGTGGTATCATTTAACTATAAGAAACAAATATCGGGGAAAAAATTCAAAGGTGGCACACTAAAACAAATATAGGGAAAAATTTTCAAACAGTGGCACCATTTGTCTAAGAAAATGACACTAATAAGATTCGAACTTGGGTCTGGGGTGGAAAAAAGGCCTTGCAAACCAACTCTACCAACGGAATGAAGCTATGATAGGAAGTACGAAATGGAAGCTAAAAAGGCCTTAAAGTTTGCAATAAAACCAAACACAATCAAACGAATCTAGTAAATCTCGCACAGTGTAGTGGGGTCCAGAGAGGATAAAATGACATCAGACCTTTCTTATGTTCTAATTTTAACAGTTAGAGAAAAAGTACCTTAATTTTTAAGACGAATTTTCATCAAATTTCATATCTCCAAGTCTACTCAGCAACTTCGCTTTATATTTGTCAATTTCAGCATCTTCTGTGGCTTCTGGAGTAGCCATGATTACTAAGATTGCCCCGGCGCTTTGCAGAGCCCTGGCTGCTTCATCTAACATATTATGAAACAACAGAATGAGAAATTTATGGGGATTTCTAGGAAAAGATGAAGAAGATGATGATCATGGAGAATCAGGAACAAGACAACTCTATGCAGATGCACATAAACTGACGGATATATTACATTTATATGTAGTTATGCAGATAAACTCACAAAGGAGGATAAATAAAAGCTTCTAACCTGCACGAGCAATGGCAGCAATAGCATTCAAAGCTTCCTTACGTGTGCGATCATCTGTTGCAGCGCCCAACATATCCACAAGCTTTTGTGCCCCACCCATCTCCACAATCTTCATTCTTCTTTCATCTATTTAACAGGATCGTACGTTAACAAAAGGTTTCACACTTTTCCCCATTGGACAACACACTATAAAATCTATGAAACATAGTAGGTAGAGCATCTCCAACCCCCCGACCCAATTTTTTTTTGTTAGGGGGGTGGGGCTGAAAAAGAGAAGTGCAAGAATTGATGATAAGTGCATTATGTATCCCCTTTTTTTTTTTTTGTAACCATGGGTGCCTGGACCAGCTTGTGCGCTTCTCGACTAATCCCATGGGACCCTAAAGATAACAACCAGGAAAATCTCCGATGGCTTTGTGGAGGCTCGAACTGGAAACCTATGGGGAGAATCCCCAAGGCCTGGCCTTCATTTGCAAGTTGAGCTGGCCCCATAAGGTTAAAATTCAGTCTTCCATAAAATGTAGTGCTAGATACTGAATACAGTGACTAGAGAAAGCTACGAGAAAATGAACGGTCTGATCAAAGGTCTAGGTTGCAAAATTAATTGCCTAGATTCTCTGATATCTAAACCCATACCCTAGCATTCGGGTTTGTTTGGTTTGGTTATTCTCTCATTCTCTGATATTTAAGCAAGAATGGAATGGCATATACAGCCGTGTGATTAAGTGTACCATTGCATAATATGGAATTTTTGATCAAATACACGTAGTAGGAAGTTTTATTATAGAATAGATATATATATCAACCATACCATCTGTTGCAAAACGAGCTAATCTTGAAGCTCCCATCCTTTTAAATAGCGGGTCCTTGACGTGTAGAAGTGACACAGACTGCTGAATCAGATTATCACCTAAAAAGATCCCTTATTAAAAAATCTTGCCAATGAAGATCCACAAATGCAGTTAAACTTAACTTAATTTTTTGATACCACATAAAGGACCTTCCACTGCAACGTAACTCGTCTGCTGGTACACAGTTGATAAGGAAAAGTAATTGTGCAAGTGATTTACGAAACAAAGTGAATACCCAAGTATGGAAAGATATGGTATCCAACGATTGTTGCAGTCCCAGCAAAGATAAGTTTAAAAAGCCATCCTATTTTCTTTTCAGCCTCCTCCTCCATTGCTCGTTCATCTGGAACCAAAGTACAAGTGCACATCTAGCAATGGTTAGGAGAAGTTATAAAGGCAGCTTGCATTCAACTGCTTCTCCTCGGAACAAGAGGATAAACAGAATCATCCCGGCTAAAGCACGAGAATCCAAACTGCAGATCTTAAGGAACTGAAATTCAATAAGAATTGGACTATCTGGTAACAAATGGTAAGAGTATGTGCATACTTCCAGAGACAATGATAATAACAAATAGCTATTTGCATACTTGCAGAGACAACAGTTTGAGATCGGCATACACAAAACAGGTTGGAGATATAATGGAGGAATCGAACTAAGACAAATTATTCGCATCACAACATTAAAATCCATATCTCCTGTTTATTCAAGATCCCAAGTTTAGGCAAAGTAAGAGCAATCGATCTATTTATCCATTGAGGGTGGGGTGAGATACATCTTTTCATGGATTTCACACATCATAACTAATTATATAAGCTTCACACGTATATGTTTGAACCCTTGAAGGCTTTCATCATAGATTAGTATCCAAGCCTCTTCCTCACATTAGTTTGAAACCGGTACAAATTTTGCCATTGCCTTTTTCTAGAAAGTTTTTGTTATTTCTCTAGTTTTCCTTGCTAATTATCCGTATTAGAATCATGTATCACTCTAAAAATTAGCCGGGGTCTTCACGTGAACATCCGCTCTACCATTCGGGGCAGAGGACATGTCTCCATGCACCCCACCCTCCTGGCCCTATTTTCGAATGGGATATATTGGGTTTGTTTCGTTTGGTTTATCACTCGAACATTCGTAACCTTCCCTCGATGTGCTAAAGCCAAATACGAGACCACCAATGATTCAGGTGGTCGTTAAGGTGATGACGATGCTGTTGTTGTAAAGGCTAGAAAATGTAAGGGTTTCGGGTGCCAAATTGATATAGAAATATGAACACACACTTCCAGTTTGTGGTGTTAATGGCGAAGAGGAGATCCAAGGCAGGGTACATTATCATTTTCCACAAGTTAAAAGTTCAAATAACCATTGTGATTGCATGACTACCTTCAAAGATCTTCTAAACTCTAATTCTTGAGTCTTGTAATTAGTAGTCTCAAGAACTGTTGCAGATTCTAAAAGTTTTGCATTGAACTTGAATAAAAAATGTACAACAAAAAAAACTAACAATCATTAAGCTCAAAGTTCAGTAGGAATTACCTATTTCATGATAAGATGACGAATATTGGCGTGATCGAACATTCACTGGTCTTCTTCTGCACAAATACTGCAATTAAGAAGAAAAAATTTAAAATTATCGAAGAGTCTACCAAATTATCATAGAGAAGGATGAATGAAGTAACAAACTCAGACAATCAATACTCAAAGGACGTGTGATAATGGAGATTCAGTCATGTAACTTCCGAATCACAGAAATCAAATTTTGTAAAACGATTTCTACGAAGAATCATTCAAATATATTCAAGTAGAGAGACTTACGGAGCTGAATTGAGCTGTTAAACCACGCATCACGATCGGAATTGCAAACGGTAGAAAGGCGTTCAGTCGCCTCCGGTGGCAAAGAGAGGGGATTTAGCTGCCGGCGACCGGGTTAATTTGGCCGAACCCCAAATCGAGTTCGGATCTTTTCAGAGTTACCCGTATTCTATTGCCATTTGACAACCTGTCCGAAGATATAAGCCCAAGCATCAAAAAGTAATGGGCCCATACCTGATCCAATAAAGCTAGGCTTTCAAATTACCCTCAAAATCCCGCCATTGACGAGTTGAAGCTTCTCTGACAATCTCGTCTCTTCTTGCGTGTCTACAATCTTCAGAGGATCTTGCTATAAAAAGCGATTAACCGTTCTACTGAAATGGAAAGCAATGGAGGAAGCTGAACTAGAGAAACAACGACGTATGGTAACGAAATCATCAAACAAGAGAAAACCCTTTTCTAACCTCACTAACGTCATCCGAAAACCCAACCACACAGTCCACACTTACTCATTCTCTCAATCGAAGAAGCCTGGATCTTCCACCGCCTCTGATTCAAGTGTCGGAACCACCCAATCTCGGATCCATGCCGTTCCGTCGGACCACCCTCTTCCTTCTACCCCTCAGAGACTCACACGTGGTACTCTCTCTCACTGCCCACATATGCTGATCCAGATGTATGTTTTCACCATATGAAATTGTTCGTATCGGATTTTGCTGTCATCTCACTCGCCTAAATCGAGCCGATTTCTTATTGAAATTTAAACCAGGATGTGTGCTTGTATATCTGGAATTTCTTTTTGTTGATGAATATTTGCATTCGAATCGCTTGAAATTTGGTTTAATTGTATAGCTGTTAATTACTTCTTCATGAATATTGAGTATATGATCGTATTCTAATTGGGTAGTTCCTGTATTAGACTGCATCATTGGACCATTTTCCCCCAACACGTCTTGCAGTTGTTGGCTTCTTCGTTCTGTTGGTTTCATTTTCGTCTTCATCTGATGCTTTCAATCATTGGCTAGATTGCTTAAGTCCAATTTTCAGCCAAATCTGAATGTAGCAATGTGTTTTTGTGTTTAATTTTCAAGAGCCAGAGTCCATGACTGAGCTTGTTTTCATTTGTCCGATCATAAGACAGTGTTTATGAAACCGAGAATCATGGCTGTTTCATCAATGGGCTTATGAATTATTTCTGTTTGTCTTTTCAAGAATACCTTGACTAAGTTTAAGATTTGCATTTCTTAGATCATTTGGTTGGTGATGAGAATCATCTAGCGTATGCTCGAAGATGGAGCGCACAGACAACCAGGAGCAATGTGAAGGATGCTGTGCAGGAAACTAGGAGCAATGGGAAGGGAAATCAGTCTTGTCTGGATAAAACGACGAACGATGGGAAGGGGAAATCTGTGGTTCTTCAATGCTCTTCAATGGAGAAGATTAAGGACAAAAGGGAAGCTATCGATGTGCCATTTAGTGCCCATCACATGAAGAATGCAAAAACTAGCATGGACGCTCTTATTCCTCATTCTACCGTGAAAATAAAGGATAAAGTGAAGGAAAAAGATGTGCAATCTAATTCTTCTATGCGGAGCACAAACATTAACACATCCTTTATAATGCCTCCTTTACTGAAGAGAAAGGATAAAGGAAAGGCAATTGCTGTGCCACCTGATTATCCTCCTGTGAAGAAAGTGAAGAACAATATGGTGGAAGTCCGTGTGCCTCTTTCTGGAGTGAAGATTAAGGATAGAGGGGAAACAGACAAGGGTTCTAGTCGTGTTGATCTTGCCCAAAAAGATAAAGGGAAGGCAATCGCTACACCTATCAGTTATCGTACTCTGGGGAAGAAAGATAAAAGAAGTAGCTGTCCACCTCTTTTGAGGACCACCGGCAATAGGTATCAGTTATTTGTAGCTTACTTGCTTGTTTCTTTTAATATATGTTTTGCAAACCGTGGGTCTTCACAGAAACACTCTTTGTCCTCCTTTGGGTAGAGGCACGTTCTGCATACATCCTACCATAGACCCTACCTCTGTGTCGGATTTACTGGGTTAGTTTGGTTTGGTTTGGTTTGGTTTGGTTGAATAGGAATGAAGTTGATGCATTTTCTAGTAGTACTTATTGATGCATCAGTTGATTATAAAACTAATACAATCTCTATGCTTCTTGGCTGAATAGGAATGAAGTTGATGAAGCAGAAGATATATTCCAATCTAACCCACAAACAGATCCTCCTCTCAATAAAAAGGTATGCTTTAACATTTATCTATGAAAGATACACTCCCTTGGTCCCAAAAAAAATGCATTTATGTTCGACTTAGTCCCATCCTGTTCCAATCTAATGACGAGTCATACGTGGGATAACAAGTTTTGTGTTCTATTTTGTCTCGTGTATTCCCACATACCAAACGCACCCTTAAAGGTCAATATACAACATATTGTTCTTTCAGAAATCAATTATCGTAACTAACAAACGATTGTTGTACAGAAGAAAAGATGCTCATCAACGAAAGGTGTGGAAGAATATGCATTACCACAAGATTTTGTTGAGCAGCAAAGAGCTTACTTTCAAGAAATCGATGAGTTTGAACTACAAGTTGAGGAAGTATGAGTTTAAAAGAAAGAGGAGAATAACTTCATTACTTAGGTAACACTGTCTTAACCTGTTTTAGTTTCTCGTATAAATATGTCAAAATCTCCTAAGAAAGATCAACAACTTGACCACAAGATGGTGCTGTGTAATGACCTTCTTACCCTCGAGACTAAAGGTCATTCCTAGACGTGTAAATCTGATGGCTTAGGTGAATAAAAATCTTACCATGTTTTTCGTCTTTGTCAACTTCATAAAACATGTAATCAATCGTCATTCAAGTCTATTGCGGCTCATGTTTCGTCACCATTACGGGAAACGTGCTCCTCTTCCACTTGGTCGATAACATATTGGCATGATCTCGTAGCATTATCATCGACGGTATTCAAGAACTCAACAATATAATATCAAAATGATATACCAAAAAAATTCCAATTGTGTCAACGACATATCATGTTTAACATTTGCGTCATTTTCAACCCGTTACCTAAATCCCTAGTAGGAACCCCCCTTGAACTATGTACTAACTTGAGATGAAAAAAAAATCATATGGGTGGTGTCTGATTGGTTTGAACTTGGCTCCAAAGATCAAAAGTATCAGGAGGTTTCATGTTCAAATCTAAGTAGGAATAAAAATTCTCTTTTGGCCATGGAGGTTCAAATGCGGTGACTCCGAGCTATATGCAAAGCAGGTGGTTGCTCTGGGATTAATCGGCTCGTATAGCGGGTTGAATATTCCAGGTTAATAAAAAAAAAAAAACTTGAGATGAAATAACAATTTCAACACATTGTCTTGGGATTGTAAAATCTACGTTAGTAATGTCCAAATGATTCAGTAATGCTATTTTACGTTTTATATATATATATATATATATATATATATATATATATATATATATATATATATATATATATATACTATATTATAAAGCATTTGGCTAAAACTCTTAA